TATTTAAAATACGTTAAGAATTGATATGAGGATGCATTAGTACGCACGCAATGTGAGCGGTCATTCCCACTGTTCTCTGCGTCGTGATAATCAGCATGACCATCGGCGCATTCCTCATCATCATCATCGGTAGCAGCAGGACCATCATCATCATCATTGCCATCACCATTACATAGCTCATCGTCATCCATCCATGGAGGCGAGGGTAGGTGGGTGGCACAGAGATCATCACGAATTGACATGCTAATCTCTAATCGCGAGCAATACAATGGCCGAGGTATACCTAGCTCTGCGATTTTACATTTACAGTAAAACCTTGGATTGCGAGTAACTTGGTCTGCGAGTGTTTTGCAAGACGAGCAAATTTGTTAAATAAATATTAATTTGATAAACGAGCGAGGTCTTGCAATACGAGTAGTACGTGTATACGCTTTGTCTGCCGAGCGTCACGTGATCACATCTGATATACGAGTGCTTTGATATACGAGTGCTTTGGATTACAAACACGTTTCCGGAACGAATTATGCTCGCAATCCAAGGTTTTACTGCACTTGCAAATTCCATATCTGACCCCGCCCACTTACCCTTGGGTTGTACCCATCTCAAACCTATACAACCTTTAGCTGCAGTAGCTCTCCCACTACTTTTCTTCCTGCCTCAGCAGTCCGCCTGTTGTATTTTTCCCCCTGAATACGATTGCTCCTGTTGCGATCGAAACGTCGTGAAGTTTTGTTGATATTTTATTATTTTTTCTTCTACCTACGTGACTTTACCGAAAGACCCAAAGAGTGACGCATTCTCGTGTTCACACTCGCGACCTGCTGAGCTTCGAGTTGGCCAGAAGGTGGCAGCACGCCAAGTGGATTTATTGAAGCCGTCCGTGCGGAATTGTTTTAATGATATCCCCTTACACGCACGGTGACTTCTACGAACCAACCCCTCACCTCCTCGCTTCCACCTCCCCCGCCCCTTAAAAAAGTGGAATTGCTCAAACATCCCAATGCATAACCTCATAAGCACCGACACTCAATAAGGACTTTCCTGTACAAATAAAGGACCACTCAATTACCACGTAAGAAGTATACATGTCAACATTTGTATTCTTTTGTTTTACATTTCCAACGCGCGTCTCAACATGCTCCACGTTGCATAAATATGTAGAGGTATTTATAAATACTGTACGTTTAAATAAACCCCGCGCAGAATTTGCTTTTCCATTTCAGCGCGCCCATTATTTGCGTGTGACTGACTCCGCTTCCGCTGTTTCGCCTGCCAGAGCGTGCGTCCCGCTTTGCTGGCTGTTGTGGAGTTTGATTTATAAATCAATGTCAGCTCCACCCGCGCAAAGCCAAACACGATCCTCTATCGAGAGAGAGAGAGAGAGCACGCGCACGAGAGAGAGATTGAGAGAGAGAGAGAGAGAGCGAAAGCACCTCGGGGGTAAAGAAGGCTGTCTCTCTCTCTCTCTCTCCGGCATCTGCACAGCGAGACATTATTGTCCCAAGTTCCACTAAGTCGTCCGTCCGAATTCCGCGATGAAAAAGCGAGGATTTTTTTTATGGGGGATAAGCCTGAAGAAGCCGTCTTTTAAAGCCTGAATAAGCCGTCTTTTAGGCCTAAAGAGGGGATTCTCAGAATAAAAATATGAAAAAGGGAGAATTCTTAATTTCATGAACGCACAAGCATTGGGGACGGTGATGTAGCCCAGTGGTAGCGTGTTCACCATTTTGTTGTTGCAGAGGTTGGAACCCGGCAGGCCGCCCTGATTAATACTGCGGGTGTATTAACTGTAATAAAAAAAAATATTCGCTGTCTTTTCCACTGTGGCTGTACGCAACATTTACGCGATGATCCACCACAAACCCTCGCCGTTGCCTCTGACAAGCGCCGGCCCCACCGCCACTGGCGCCACCCGGCAGTGCCGTTGCCTGGCGGCGCCTACGCAAGTGCCGGCAGCGGCAGCAGCAGGAGGGAGGGAGGCAGGGATGTTGCAACAGGGACGGTAGCGCGGCCCCTTCGTCAAGCTCGCCTCGAGTCTTCAGAGCAGGAGTCCACGGGGGTAGAGGAGCGATGCTCGGGGTGCACCGCACACTATTAGGCGCCCCCAATCGGGCACGCGTCATTAGACGCGCGCGTGCCTCGTGGAGGGATGGGATGGGGGGTACGGGGCAAGGCGGGGGGAGGCGGGGCGGTTTGAAAAGATGGAAGGGTTTTTGTGGAGATGCACAATAATAGCCCCTTTGATTATGCTGATTATTGGTGGTGGTGGTGGTGATGGTGGCTGTGTTTGTGGTGATGGTGGTCATGCTGCTGGTGGATATGTTGATGGGGGTTGTTAAAACGCACAATAACAGCCCGTTTGGTGGTGATGGTGATGCTGATTGTTGGTGGTGGCGGTGGTTACGTTCGTGGTGGTGGTGATGATGGCTGTATTTGTGGTGATGGTGCTCATGCTGGTGCTGGTGGTGGTCATGTTCATGGGGGTTCGAACAACAACGACGATGGTGGTGATAGTGGTGGCATCGGTGATGATGGTGGGAGCGGCGAAGAAGTCGGTGGTCGGCGGTGAACGCGACGATGGCCACGATGACGATGGTTAACAATGATGGCGGTGCTCCTTGTTATTGATGGTAGCTGGCAGGAAGCGGTGGCCGTCGCAGAGTGGCGGTGCTGACGGTGGCGGTGCTGCCAGAGGTGCAGTTCGCCACGGCAATAACGTTGCTGGCGGCGGTGGTGACAGCTCGTAAATCCGCATCACCCCGCGCCGCTCATTATTAAGCAAGAGAATCAATGAAGTAGAAGTTAAATGATCTCCAGCCATACGGTGTCACGACCGCGTGAGGATAGAGACGACTATGAAAAAAGAAACACCTTCCGAATCACCGACGTCGATTTGGTGGGGAGGCACGGCCGCCCAGCCAGCGGCACGGTGATCGCTCGCGCCCCGACTGCGGCGGACGCATCTCGCGCCTCGCGTCCCTCCCGCTCGCGCCTCGCTGCGTCGGCTCCCCCCGCGGCCGCAGTCGAGTGGAATCCAAAAATGTTGATGCTCGTATTTAAGGCCTTGCCGAGGGGTCTCCCCCCCCCCCCCCCCAGCCTCCTTCTATTCAGGCGCCAATTCAACCTCGCGCCCCGGCACTCGAGGTCTCCAAGATCTGCCGATGGTGCCCTTCCGAACCTTCACCTTCTTCTCAGCTACACTGGAGGGGGGCGATCGGTTGTTTGCTGCATTGGCCCCCAAATTGGTGACCCCCCCCCCCGGTTGTGGAAAGCTCTACTGGTGCCCCCCCCCAGTTGTGAAACTCCCTACTGGTGCCTCCCCCCCCCAGTTGTGAAAACTCCCTACTGGTGCCTCCCCCCAATTGTGGAACTCCCTACTGGTGCTCTCCCGCCCCCCCCCCCCCCCGTTGTGGAGCTCCCTACTGGTGCCCTCCCGCCCCCCCGCCCAGTTGTGGAACTACCTACTTTTGCCCCCCCCCAGTTGTGGAACTCCCTACTGGTGCCCTCCCGCCCCCCCCCCCCAGTTGTGGAACTCCCTACTGGTGCCCTCACGCCCCCCCCCTCCAGTTGTGGAACTCCCTACTGGTGCCCTCCCGCCCCCCCCCCCCAGTTGTGGAACTCCCTACTGGTGCCCTCCCGCCCCCCCCCCCAGTTGTGGAACTCCCTACTGGTGCCCTCCCGCCCCCCCCCCCAGTTGTGGAACTCCCTACTGGTGCCCCCCCCCAGTTGTGGAACTCCGTACTGGTGCCCCCCCCCCAATTGTGGAACTCCCTACTGGTGCCCTCCCGCCCCCCCCCCCAGTTGTGGAACTCCCTACTGGTGCCCTCCCGCCCCCCCCCCCCCCAGTTGTGGAACTCTCTACTGTAGGAGACCAGGCGGCTCTGTTCATATCTGTAAGTCTAAAAACGAAATGTCCCTCCAACAATTATTTGTTCTAATCAGCTCTGTTCCTCTTCGGCGCTTATCCTGCCACCCAGTTCCCTTATTATCTTTGTACTTTTCGCGCAAGGCGCCCTGAGACATTGTGAAATTGCACCTCACACGGGCAAATAATAATTGTCATTATTTCTCGTTATCACTCCGTCGTCACGCGCGGGTCTCTTCACGTTCTCAACGGACGAGGCTGTGCCAACAAGGGCCAATATAGTCTTCAACATACATTACACGTTGACTCACTCTCACGGTGGAACACAAGTTGTTGATTTACCACCATCAGCAGCAGCAGCAACACCATCACGTGGGTCATAACCGCATAACTCGCTTTGGCACCTACAACAGGCAAAGATCCCCCGTGTAGCCTTCACAGACTGTTGGGGAAAAGTGCTGTAAGCGAGCACCTATGCAGGCCGGCGTCGCCACACGAGGGGGGTGGATGGCTAACACCATGCCCGGCCGCCTTTGTCTCCCCAGTGGTGATGAATTTTCCACACCGCACCAGGTACTGACTCGAGGCTGAGTCGACCTAGGGGAGGCCCAGGACCGTTTCCAATAATTGTCACCGGTACGTACGCATGCGTGCACCCAGAGCGCCTCCTTCCCAACTCGATACGAAATCGTCAATTTGCTTCGGCGTGGATGGCCCAAACCAAATTTCAGAGATGCCACAAGACAACGCGCCAAGTCTCGCTCACATTGTCTACGCAGCAGCAGCAAATAATGTAATTCTAAAGAGGTTAAAATAGCCACGATATCTAAAATCATGCGAAGGGTTATTATGTACTGTGTATATGTCGAACTTCTTTCGCACCGTACGTAGCCAACCGTGCGAATCGGTGCGGGTGAAGATGAAGGACAACAAACTAAACACCCATGTGACTCTTGCAGAAGAGGCAATGCATCTATCACCTTCTGTCCCACCCACCCAACAGCCTACATTTATTTCACTCGGTCAAACAAAGGATGCTTCTGCGACAACTACGTTATCAGCTCGTGCTGAAATGTAATCTTCACGCGCGAGGTGCGTGAAGATAGAACTCGCGCACAAAGTGAGAGGTACTCACGGTTGCGTTTGCGCGAGGTCTGGAGAGCAGTCGGGCTCACTCCTGGTCAGCCGCGCCGCAGAGGCTCGAGACGGAGAGAGAGGAGCGTCCGTACGCCCGCCTGCCCGCCCGCCCGCCCGCCTCTGCTGCAGACGCACGGATGCACGCCAGCCAGCCCCGTAAGCCGCGACAAGCCAGTGGACGTGCCAGTGAATGCGCGCGCGCTCGTGCCCCTCCGCGCTCGCCCATTAATCGCCCACGAGAGTCCTCCCCTACTCCCCCAACCCCCTCCCCACCCACCCCCACCATCACCCCCACCACCTCACCCACTGACCCCCACCACTCCACCAACCCCACCCACCCCCACCACTCCACCCACCCCACCCACCCCACCCACCCCACCCACCCCCACCACCCACCCCACCCACCCCCACCCACCCCCACCCACCCCCACCACCCCCACTCACCACCCCCACCTCACCCACCCCACCCACCCCCACCACTCCACCCACTCCACCCACCCCCACCAACCCCACTCACTACCCCCACCTCACCCACCCCCACCACCCCACCCACCCCCACCACCCCACCTCACCCATCCCACCCACCCACACCACTCCACCAACCCCCACCCACCCACCCCCACCACCCCACCCCCACCCACCCCCACCACCCCACCCACCCATCCCGAATCACCGTGGGTAGAGCCGCCGGCACGCGCCGATCCCTGAAAGAGGTGAATCGTCAATCGGCGAGACCCTCGCATCGGCAGTGGTGCACAGACGCAAACTAGCGGCGCAGAAACTCAACGCGCTCGTCAATAGCAACGCTGTGTGGCATCATAAGGGGGAGTACCTAATAGGCGGCCTTAAAAGGCGACGTTTCGGGCAATGGCTCCTCCGCACAGCACACACATCACATTATCGAAGTGCTATGAAGAAGGGCAATTTCGGGCATTGGCCCTTCACAGCAAATAAATCACGAATGAGGCATGTGCTCTCGAGACGGGCCATTGTCCGAAAGGTCACCTATTATATTTGTCTTGTTTCCTATCGAGGCAGCCTTTAAAAGAGGCAGACGTTCAACACCAACAACATCAACAACAACAACATCAACAACAACGTCGTCATCGTCCATCGCGTGGCGCTGCACAGCGGCTCCCCTCCATCGCTCCAGCCACGCGAAGCTCCGTACGAGTGGGGCACTCGTAGGGATGACGGGAGGCGGTGTGGCTGCTGCTGCTGCTGATGATGATAGCCACCGAAGCCGTTTCAGCTTTAGCGTAACGCTGCAATGAGCGTATCCCAACACGCCGGTGTGGTGCTGCACTCGTAACGAATTGGCCACGTTCTGTTTACGTGATAACCCTTACGAGTTGGCTGTGTCGGGTGGTGGCGGGTTTAACGACACATTTATATATTTAGGCGATCTAAGCCCCCCTGTATTATGGATAACTGATGTACGCGCGACAGAGACTATAGCTCCGTTACATGAAGCCGCACTAACGACTCACAGCGGCAGCCCGATGTGTTGTCACTAACGTCGCTTCATGATCGGCACGAGTGTTCGTCTCCCTGGTGCGTAACAGCAAAAGTGGCCCCCTATCAAGTGGGGCCTGTTGTATTGATTGCAACAACAACAACAACAGACACCATAGTGTATATAACCTATACAAGTGCGATATACAGTAGCCGCTCCGTCAATCCACTGCTGGATGAAAAAAAAATGTGATGAAACTGCTGCCGCGTAGAGCAGTGGTGCGCAGGCACAATTAAAATAAAATTCGACGCATTCGTCATACTCGGCGACGTTTCGGCCAACGGCCTTTCTTGATGGCTCTTAAATCGATTTATTGGTTCTTTCAACGATGTGATGCGCGCTATGAAGAAGCGCCATTGCCCGAAAGGTTGCCCGACTAATTAAACGTTCGTTTCAATGCCACGTTGGCCATTGACGATTGTGTTGAGTTTTCCACTGCCGGATGAAGGGCCTCGCTTGATCATACTTCACCACGCTGCTCCAAAGCGGGCTTGGCGAAGGAACAGTGTATGGTATTGTCGTAAAACAATGAATTGTTTGCAGCACTCCCCTCTGCTGCTCACAACGCAGCTCCACAAACGTTTACTCGACTCAATTCAATTTCACAATTACGGAGGATGAAGGAGTCTGCTTTATTTTGTACTTGTTTGTATGTGCAGGAGTTAAATGCCAACAGTGTCGTTGTCTGCTCGCCACGACGAGAGGGCTTCAAGAGAGGGTCCCGTGGAATTTAGACACTCCTCCGTTGAAGCAGCGCATGGTCCAGTGGTTTACTACATTGTCCATAGTTTGGGTTGCATGGCCACAACCGCACTGTTGTGGCTTGTTTTTGGCTTGTCTTTCATGCATTTCTATGAGTCTATGTGTTTCGACGAGCCTCTATGGGTCTTATGTATCCCTATGTATCCCTGTATCTGGAATTAATATACCGTATAATTCATAGTTTGGGTTGCACGGCCACAATCACACTTCTGTGGCTGGCCTGTGGCTTGTCTTTTATGTATTCCAGTGAGCCGCTATGTATTATTACGTGACTCTATGTGTCTATATGTATTTCTATGGGTCTGTGTATCTCTAAGAGTCATTCGTTTTACTGCATGGTCCATAGTATGGGTCCCATGGCCACAGTCGCACCGTGGCTTTTGAAATAAGTTGCAGGCTAACTCAATTGCCACGCTCACGTGCCGGACAGGGAAATCAATGATTAATGGGGGGCAGTGTAACCTTAATTGCACGGAACTAAATGTAAACAATGCAACCCTGATTAACGTTTAACGTTTATACAGTACTCAGTTGTGTATTACTATAAATATAAAACCTTGGGTCGCACCAGAATGCCCACGTTTTAAAGAGAGAGGTCGGCCCTGAATTGCCTGGATGATTGGCGGTTCAAGCAAGCCCGACTCTGCTGCTGATGAGACACTGAACGTCGAAAACCCGCTCGGGGAAGTTTTTGCTCGTCTTTAAATCAACGCCGATGAAATTACGCGTTCTCAGACGGCTGTGGCGGCTGATGGAGAGACGGATTTGTGAAGGCGACGTCGATGTCTGCTTGTTTCGTTTTGTCACCTGACGGTGACTCAACGCTGCTTAACTCGTTTCTGGCTAAAATGCCCCCGCCCGCTGCCATCCCCGGCGGGAATCGAACTCAGGTCCCCAAGTTCGTTGCGCGGTGTGCCTGCCAATCCACCACCGCTCCCAACGAACAGACAATACAATGGCCCCCGCCATAAGAATGTGGAGTTCCCACCAGTTGCGGCTCGCAGCTGCCAGCAGCGATGACCATTTGGCCCCACCGATTATTTGAGTCGGGGCGGCACATTGACACGTTAATAACATTTGAGAAAAAAAAAACATCTGAAAAGAGAGAATCTGATTTGAAGACAGATGAGCCAAGGGGACAACCAGGGTCTCATGGTATCAACAATGGCCCAGCAAGACCTCCCCACGACCCTCCCTCCCCAACCTCCCGGGCGAGGGGGCACAGACCTCCGTCTGTCCGGCTGGCCATCTGCCTGCCAGGGCTCGGGGTGGAGCAGTGGGTGGGGGGGGGCAGTGCCTGGGGCGACAGACACTACTGAGAGGAGTGCTGGGGAACCACACGTGGGCACTTGGGCAGCGCACACGCGCCACGCGTGCGTGGCGAGTTAATCCACGAGCTTCCTCCTAATCCTGAGACTCAAGGTCGCGCCATCGCCCAGCAACCTCGCGTTGCCGATATTGTCGTTTGCAAGCAATCGACGAAGCATCGATAAGTATCGATGGGTATGCATTGTCAAGCACGCTGACGTCAATGCATCTGTGTGTGTGTGTGTATCAACAATAGCAATGGATTTACAGCCTTCCTCGCTCGTATGGCGTTTGAAAAAAAAGCAGCAGCAGGGATATAATTGCATTGTTAATGTTGTGGGCCATTTGGGGTAGTAGCTGAGTGGAGTTGGCTTGTTCCACCAGAATTCGCGTGTTGCATTGGGCTGGCAGTCGTCAGTGATGTTACAGCCTGACGGTGTACAATTGTCTCTATAAATACAACCGCATCTCCAGACGGTTTACAATACAAATGCATGTGTGTGTGTGTAATAATCTGTGTTTTCTTTTTTATTTCATATAAGTTGAGACGCAAATGGTTTAACTATTTTTACTATTGAACTATTTGTATTTTACCAGATGAGGCACACTAAGCTATATTGCTCTTTTTCAGAAGCGACCTGGCCACCCATAATAGCTCAAGAAAGTGGTTTATCGTGTGGAAACTCATCGCAGCCAAATACTCTAAACGCATGTTTCTAAATTTGGAAGGAAAAACCGAAGGACCCGAAGAAAAATTCTCCAAATATGCAGGCATCAGGGTCGGGATCGAACCCACGATCTGCTGTATACAAGGCGAGGGAGTTAACATCTCGCCACCGTGGTTGACATGAACCCCACTGCTAAAGCCACGATTTGGCGCTCGTCGCGTGCACAGCGAAGAATCTGGGCATTGAATCGAGTCGTGACCCCCTAAGATAAAGACATGTTTGATTCACGGTTCCGAATAGTGACAATTCTTCCCAAAAATCTGGCGACTTAAGGTTTGTATTCTTAGGTTTTTTCGGTAAAGTCACGTAGGTAAAAAATGTAAATTATATCACTTGATACAGCTATCGTGCTGTGACGGTTCCACCTGAAGACAGAGGCTTGTGTTGCCTCCGAAACGTCGTGATTTTTATTTTATTTTTATTTTACTTTAATTAATTTAAAAATTTTACCTACGTGACTTTACCGAAAAAACCTAAGAATATGAATCCTTGCAGTCACGAAAGCTTCAAATCTAGACTTAAGGTTTGGTTTACATCTGGTGGCTAATATCAGTGACGAGTGATACCTGAACCGGTCCTGGGCACCATATTCACCAATTCGCACTGACCAACGTGGTGAAGACAGGTCCTACAACCCTCACGCCCTACGTGGTGTGGGGAGGCGTTCATCTAGCAGTGGGGAAGACTTTGTCTCGCCAACGCTGCTGGCTCCAACCGATGGCTAAGCCCGAGACTGACTGTAACGTCTCCAAACAACCACGCGCCACTCGTATTGTCGCCGTTACGATTGCCAGCGGCGCAAAGGATTG